GCCTGGGAGTGCAGTGGAGGATGGCCCAAGTGCTTGGGCTCTGCACCCCATGGGAGGCCAGGAGAAGCACCTGGCTCCTGCCATCGGATCAGTGCGGTGCGCCGGCCGCAGCCCGTAGGCCGCGGCGGCCATTGGAGGGTGAACCAATGGCAAAGGAAGACCTTTCTCTCTGTCTCTCTCTCACTGTCCACTCTGCTTGTTAAAGAAAAAAAAAAAAAAAGAAAAGAAAAGAAAACAGTCTGGTACTTGTTTTGCTTACTAGATCTCTTAAATCATGGAATAAATTTTCCCTTTTCATTGCGATTATTTAGACATCTCGCATCAGCTTTCTTAGCCTCACTCAGTCACTGAATCACTTTAACCCTGAGTTAGTTAATGCATTCACCTTGCAAAGACATACAGTCTGGATAAGAGATCAAATAGCTCTAGGATTTTCTGATTCTTAAAGGTGCAATTCAATGACTCACTTGTTGAAGTTCCCTACTGCAAAACTATGTGTAACTAATCCCTTTCCTCATTTAAGTGCATTTCTTGAAGCAGGAGTTGGGTCTGACACATTGTATCTTTAGCTAGTGCTGGCCACATATTTACCCTTTTTCTTCCCTTCTGTCTGTATCTTAACAACTGAAGAACATTGGGAAGTGTCCATGTCATCAAGCTCACCATGACATACCTTAGTTATCTATCCTATCATGTCTTATCAGTAGAGAAACCGTAGTACCATATGATTTGGGATTTAAATATGTGATCTAGGATTTGGGTCAGTCTTTGTAGCAGTACAGTTTTTCAATATGAAATATATGTTCACTAGTGTCACCTTTTGGAAGGTGTCCTTTTAGAAAAAGGTAACAGAAAGATTCCATAATTAAATCTTGCATTTAATTTCTAGGCAGAATCTTTCAAATGGAACTGTATGCCTTGGACGGTGATGAGTAAATAGTGATTTATTAGAATCTAGCAGAAACTGCAATTTTAAGTATCTAAATGCACTAGGAGCCTCTTGGTTTCATGCAATTTATAATCCTCCTGGGATTTTCTAAGAGTTGAAGGCTTTGGCAAGACTTGAATGCTTAATGAAAAGTGAATAATGCAGAAAGCATAAGCACTTGAAAATCATAATGCATTAAATAATGAGAGCTGAAAGGAGCTATGCACGTTATTACTTTATAGTTTCAGGTGATGGTAACAAAGCTTTGGCACACATAGACACTTGTGATAATTGAGTCATATTTCGCATGGTGAGTGATGGAGAACGCTCTGCATGTGCGCTTCTGGTGAGCGGAGTGGTGAATCCTCATGTGGTATTCACAAGAGCAGGAAACGCTTCATGTCTTTGGGTGAATTCATGTGTGTCAACACACTTTACCATCTAGTTTATCTCATAACGCTTTAGGGAAGGAGATGGTTAGTTCAATGATTCAGAGAAAAAATCCTTTAGAAACCTTAAAATTCCATTGTTTTAGGAAAACAAAAACACTGTAACTCTCAATATGCTTTAAAAACAGATACACAGAAACTAAGCACTTTAGGTTATAAAAAATCAGATAAGGTATGGTTGTGACTTTTCCCATGAGAAATGATCATTTTTTAAAAAATAGAATTTTGTTGTCAAGTTTTTATTTAAAAAGGAGAGAGGAAAGATCTGTCAGTTGTTAGTAAGGTGATTAACTCACGTCAATTAAAAATAATTATTATACACTGAATAACAAGAATCTCAAAACAAAGAATCCTTTATATTGTTTTTAGACTAATAGACTTGTCATTTTAAAAAGTTTAAGGACATTTCTAAAAGTTCATGTAAAATGGAATTACATGTTTATTTTCATGCAGAAACTTGATATTGTACATTGTAGCAAACTGGATTGCTGTGGAGATCATTATTTGTGATCATTATTGAAAATTTGTCATAATATCTCTGTTTTCAAGAAAAAAATAGTATATGTGTGTATGTATATAATGTCTGTATATTAAGTGAATATGGTAAAAACTTTAAATATGGATCAATTTTGAAACTAAAAAAAAACAGTGGGGGCCAGTGCTGTGGCATAGCGAGTAAAGCCACTGCCTTTAGTGCCAGCATTGCATATGGGCACCGGTTCGAGTCCCAGCTGCTCCACTTCCAATCCAGTGGCCTGAGAAGGCAGTAGATGGCCCACGTCCTTGGGCCCCTGTGCCCATGTGGGAGACCTGGAAGAAGCTCCTGGCTCCTGGCTTCGGATTGGCTCAGCTCCAGCCATTGCGGCCATTTGGGGAGTGAACCAGCAGATGGAAGACCTCTCTCTCTCTGCCTCTGCCTCTCTGTAACTCTGTCTTTCAAATAAATAAAAAAATCTTTTAAAAATAATTTTAAATAAGAAAACAGTAAAGTTATATAAAAAAGAAATTATATATACAAAAGGTCTTAAAAAATGAAAAGGCTGGCACTGTAGTGCAGCAGGTTAAAGTCCTGGCAGTTCCGGCATCCCAAATGGGCTCAGGTTCAAGGTCTGGCTGCTCCATGTAACTTTTTTTTATTATTATTATTTGACATGCATAGTTAGACAGTGAGAGAGAGAGAGACAGAGGAGAGACAGAGAGTTATAGACAGTGAGAGAGAGGTCTTCCTTCCGTTGGTTCACTACCCAGATGGCCACTATGCCCATACTCCGATGCCCTCCTGGGCCACAGCAGAGAGCTGGACTGGAAGAGGAGCAATCGGGACTAGTACCTGGTGCCCTAACTAGGACTAGAACCCAGGGTGCTGGCACTGCAGGAGGAGGATTAGCCTAGTGAGCCATGGCGCCAGCCTGACTGCTCTACTTCTGATCCAGGCCTCTGCTTATGGCCTGGGAAAGCAATGGAGGATGGCCCAAGTCCTTGGGCCCCTGCATTCATGTGGGAGACCTGGAAGAAGCTCCTGGCTCCTGGCTTCAGATCGGCTGAACTCCAGCCATTGCGGCCATTTGGGAAGTAAAACATCAAATGGAAGACCTTTCTCTCTCTGTCTCTACCTCTCTCTGTAACTCTGTTTTTCAAATAAATCTTAATAAAAAGTTAATGGAAAATACATGTTATAAACAAACTCCATGGATTTTTAAAATTGTTTTGCACCAAAGCAAACTTTTATTTTGATTCTATTTTCCAAGAACTTTTCGAAGTACTCCCAAAAACTGGAAAAGAAATGTGTATTCCACACTGATGTTTTTGTCTTCCTTGCCTTCCCTTCGCCTTGTAACAGACAAACACAACAGTACTTGCTCTGGCCCAGTATCTTTTTCCAGTAAGTACTAGAAGTTCATTTCATCAATTTCTTTTCTCTCATTTTTCTCTAAAACTATTTCCAACTGGCCTCTGCACTATCATGTCACCGAATCACATTTCAACAAGGTCTCCTATAAACTCTTCTTTCGTTAACCGAGCGGTCAGTTCTCAGTCAGCTTCCTTGACATTTTTCCTGTTTTTGCAGAAGTTTGCACGACAATCACCTAGATCTTTCCCCTTCACTGGCCACTCTGCTCAGCCTCTGTGTTGCTTCCTCTTCATCTCCCTGACCTCAGAACCTACAGTATATCAGTCCTCCAAGCTTCTGTCTGTTTTGCCCACTCTAACTACTTACTATGACTTAACCATCCTGAGTGAAGTCCAAGAACAGGAAAGCAATGATTCCCATAATGCACATGGAGGGAGATCCAAGCCTCTTCTTGTTGCCTAAAAGAACTTCTTTAGTTGACCCCTTTCATCAATTAAATAAATTATCTTTAAAGTTTTCTATATTCCTTGCTTAGCAGTAGCATGTAATTTTATATGCCATTTTTTGAGTCTAACTTCTTAATTTTTTTTTTTTCTGTAACAGATTTGTATAAACGTCGTTCCATCTACAGTGTTCTCCTGACACTGTTTAGTTAATGTAGATAATGTTGTAAACCATTTCCAGTTCTGGTTTCAAAATAATGCTACAAGTCACATCTGGCCATCCACACGTATTATTTAGGAACATAAAGGAATTAAGCTGATCCAATCTCAGAGTATTTAAGTTATTATTGATAGAATTGATGTCTAGATTTTTTTTTTTTCCTTTTTGTAAATGTAATTTCTTCTTTGTAACTTATAGGCTCCTGGGCAAAGGATATGACACAAAAAAATCTTTTTTTGTTGTTGTTCAAATAACTTTTTTGCTAAGGATACACATGAAACATATGTTTAAATGACTAGGTCAAAATCATTACACGAGAAGGTAGCAGTGTTAGAAGGAAAGATCATCTTTAACTGATGTACCTCAGGGACATCCCTATGATGCTGGAATTTAAAGGAATTTCACAAAATGTTGCCACTCTCACTGAGGCCATCTGGGGGACACAGCAGCAACTCTGTAGTAATCTCAGTGTCTTTTCTCACATGATTTATCAAATTTATTTTCAAACTTTAAACGTTATGAAACTTTTAACATTCCTCCAGCATTAGAAATTTAAACAAGAAGCTAAAAATCCCAACTCTATGATGTTATTTCCCTAGAATGATGAGCAAAATTTCAAGAATTTTTTTAACATAGTTGAGTATTTACCTATCTTAAGATAAATAATACGTATTCCTGTTTGACTCTTTTCCAGTAGTTGTAATTGGTATCATTTCCAATGCTCAAATTGTCCTGTCTGTAGCATGAGTGGCCTCTACAGGTTTGTTCCTTTTGATGTGACCCCAGAAGTCCTTGATATCCTCATGCCAATGTCTTTAAAGCTGTTGTGGTAGCCTGATGATTGACTGTTAGTGGATTTGTTTGGGAGGACCAGGGGAACAAAATTCCCTGAGTTATTCCATGTTGATATCAGCTTGTTCATGCCTTTATACTGGAAAGTCACTTCTGCAGGATTTTATGCTTACTCCAATTATTTTCTTTTATTGACTACTGCATTTATTGTTTTAATTTAAACAAGCACTTTTGTGGAAAAGTATATTAACAAACTGATTTTCTATTACATGCAAATTACTTAAAGTATTTGTCTAATGTCCAAATAACCCTTTATTTTACCTTTTTTAAAGAAAATCAGTAATTGTATTAGACATGTCTTGGGATTGATTATTCTGTGTCAAGATCCTGGATTCCTAGTGTTCTTTATTCAGCATGAGTTTGTTTTTTTAACATAAAATTTCCTTAAATTATAGAATTTTATTATTGTTATTTCTGTGTTAGTTCTTTTCCCCTTGCATTATTTTTCTTTTTCAGAATGTACACTACATTTTGGTTCTTCTTTATCTATATGTAATAGCTGTGACTTTTCATTGACTTCTTTTTTTAAATCTCTTTATTGTTTTTGTTCAAAATTGTTCTTTAATTCTGCTAAATTACAACAGTCATTCTATTCTGTGTTTCTTGTAGTTAAATTGTCATATGTTAAGTGATTTTTCTAATATTTTTAATTCTGCCCTAAGTATTTATCACTTATGATTTCTCATCATTCTCATTCATGTTGTTTTGTCATTTCTTACATATTTTTCTACATTTTTATTCATGATTTTAAGAATTTTATGTATTGAGTCATTTATGATAGAGAGAGGCAGGAGGGAGGGAGAAGAAAAGAGAGAGGAGAGGGAGAGGGAAGAGAGAAGAGAGCTCCCATTTGCTAGTTTACTTCCTAAATGCCTGAAATGTCCTGATCTGGGCCAGGACCATAACCATGATCTGGGAACTCAGTCCAGGTCTCCCGTGTGGGTGGCAGGGACCCAGTCACCTGAGCCATCATTGCTGTTCCCCAGTATCTTCGTTAGCGGGAAGGTGCAGTCAGGAACTTGGATTTAAACCCCGACACTCTGACATAGGAAGTATGTATCTTAACTGCTAGGCTAAATGCCAATGCCTTACATCATATTTAATTAAAAATTGTATTTATATATGTATGAGAGAGAGAGAGAGAGATTGAGAGATTTATTTGTTGAACCTGGGATGGCTGTGATAGAAGATGTGGTCCTCATAGCTCAGCTACTCTCCAATAACACTGCTGTTTCTGCAGCCTTGAGTCAGGAAAACATCACGGACGTGGGCATGGACGTTTACTAACTATGCCTAAAGGGATCACTCCTAGGGATGAAAATTCCTTATACTAAAATATTCCCAATTCACGCTCTCTACACTCAGTAGCTCATGGTCTTTGTAGTTAGTGCTTTCTTCTTTCTTATTTTTTTTACAGATTCATTTATGTATTTATTTGAAAGGTAGAGCAACTGTAGTGGGAGAGGAGAGGCAGAGAGACAGACACACAATCACACAAGGACAGAAGGATCTCTCACCTGCTGGTTGATTCCGCAGATGCTAGAAAGGCCAGGTCTGGGCCAGAGCAAAGTCAGGAGCTCCATCTGGGTCTCCCACATGGGAGGCATAGACCCAAGCACTTGGCCATCTTCCGCTGCCTTCTCAAGTGCGTTGGCAGGAGCTGGATGAGAAGTTGGGACTCCAACAGGTGCTCTGATAGGGATTCTTGGTTGTCAAGCTATAGCTTAACCAACTGTGCCATAATGCCAGCCCTTGTTTCTTTTTTTAATATTCAAGATATTTATCCAGAGAAACATAGACATTTATCAAAATGACTAAACGACTCTTGACTCATTGGACTTTCTTTTTTTTTTTTTTTTTCTTTTTGACAGGCAGAGTGGATAGTGAGAGAGAGACAGAGAGAAAGGTCTTCCTTTTGCCATTGGTTCACCCTCCAATGGCCACCACGGCTGGCATGCTGCGGCCGGCATACTGCGCTGATTCGAAGGCAGGAGCCAGGTGCTTCTCCTGGTCTCCCATGGGGTGCAGGGCCCAAGCACTTGGGTCATCCTCCACTTCACTCCCTGGCCACAGCAGAGAACTGGCCTGGAAGAGGGGCAACCGGGACAGAATCCGGCACCCTGACCGGGACTAGAACCCAGTGTGCCAGCGCCGCTAGGCGGAGGATTAGCCTATTGAGCCGTGGCACCAGCCTCATAATAAATTTCTGTTAGGGTAAATTTAATTCAATCCACATAGTATGGTGCATTAAAATCATAAATGATTTTCATGCAAACATATGACAGTCACAATTGAGCCGCGGCACCGGCCATCATTGGACTTTTAATAAGGTGACACTAGCAGAAAGCCTGGCTCCATCATTTTCTAGCCTTGTTTTCTTGGATAGCTTGTTTCACTTTGTGCTTCATGTTCTTTAGCTGTGAAATGGAGATAGAAATAGCACCTAAGTCACAGAGCAGAATGGATTAAATTATCATCTGCTAAGGATCCCCTAATTACCAGAGAGTGATTAAATGAGATAATATTACAAAACATTTTGAAAATAATGAACCCACATGAAAATGCAAGATTTTTTTTGTCACTAGAGAGTGTTCTTTACCATTGGCAAAAAGAACTTGAATTTTCTGTTCACTCTTTTCAAACTGATTCTTCTCATTTGTAGCTAGTGATTGCATCCTTCTTAATAAACTAATTTTAGCCAAGGCACTTTCCCCTATAGGCATGAAATAGCATGAGCCTGTTTCTTCTCACAGATTGCTCTGAACACATGGATGTGGTTAAGGCCTGGGGTGAAACAGTGATGGAAAGTCCCAATATAAAGCATGCACTTTTCCTCTGTGGACTATCTATTGCAAGAATGATATCAGCCATCCTTTGAAATAGCCCATGTGGTGCATAATAACTCTGTGTATCTTAAAATAGGATTTCCTTAGTCATTTACATGATAGTTTCGAAGGATATATATTTTACTGAGCCAAAGAACAATTGTGTCTTTAGAGATAACCACTACTAAGGGGGAGGGATAGCTAATAGAATTCAACCAAAATGATGACACAACTGTGAGAGAATAGATTCACGTAATGTTTATCATAATTTATACCTAATCTTGACAAAATGCTTTAAAAAATTAAAGAAGATTTTTACAAAGATTTTTTACAAAAAAAAAAAAACTGCCAAAAGGAATAGTCTGCATACTTCATCCTAGTGGTGTGGCAGGTGGTTTATAGACTGAATATCTATGTGAAAAAAGAATTTTTACATCCCCCAAGGAAATTGAGACAGTTAGATGTTTTATTATTGTCTCATAGCATATTGTGAAAAAATTCCAGGAATTGGAGATGTGTGGGCAGCTCTGAATTTCTATATTTCATAAGAAGTCATGTAAGCTTCTAAAATGTAGTTCTCAATAAAAATTATTATCTTTGGAATGAAATTAGTATGATATGCTTATTTTTGATGTCTTCTAAATGTAAGCATGTTTTAAATGTATGTTCTCCCACTTGCCTATCTCAGAGAATTTAAAACTTAGTAGATAGCACACTTCTGGACAAAACCAAGTCCTTCTCTCTCCTATGTTGAACAGGGAATTGGTGTTTAGAGGAGTTAATTAACAAATTTTTAAAGCAATGCTTTTACATACTGTGCTCAAAAGCTATCTTGTAGAATGCATGAATGGATTAATGTCACTTAATCCTTTGAAAAACTGGCATGACACACATTTTTGCTCTTGATCCTTACTTTCCTGGTTAAAGATTTAATGCTATGGCTCCTGCCTTTTGTCATGATGTAATATGTTTTAAATAGAGGTGCAAAGCCATTCTAAGTGAACAGTGATTTGCCTATCTCTGTTCATGCTGTCAGCATGAATTGTAGTCATCATTTTAGAGCTATGAGTTTTCTACACTTTGTGTCCCCCTGTATTTGAGCAATGACATTGAACTTTGAAAGAACCCTGGGAGAAGTAGACAGAGTACCTATTATGGAAAAACAACAAAATTAGTGGAGGTTACAAAACTGATAAAAATTGGGGAATGCTTTTTCATATACCTCCAGAATTTTTTTTTCTTTTATTCATTGGAAAAGCAAAAAGATATTTTATGTAGAAGTGTATTATTCTTGTGTATGTGTATAAAAGATGGGACAGCCAGAATGTATAACTCCCTCTCTTATGATAAGCTGTTTACCACCAAGGCTCAGTATGTTCAGCAAAGTTATAGATCTCTTCCAGACACAAGATAGATGGTATGCATTATTTATCAGCAGTCTACCAGGATATATCATAATTCAAAGAACAGAGAAGCACTCTTGATAATGAAAGGTTTCTGAGAAGACTCACTTTGCATAAGAACAGGAAGACAAAATGAATTTATCCACCTGGTTTCCAGTCAGTCATGTTTCAGAGCACTGGAGAAAATTTGCAGGAAAAAATAAAAATAAGTAAAAACCAATAAGAAATATTTTGCCACCCATCAGTGTTATTGAAAGGAATTCTTTGTCTTTCAGGAGTGCCAGGTGCAGCAGCAGCAGAGGATGCAATGGCAGCAGGACCTGTGCCAGCCAGAGAAGCACGAAGCACCCAGAGCTTGTTGGAGAGTAGTGGCAGTTTTGCCATAGCACAGCAGCAGGTGGGAGGTGACGTCACAGCCCACAAGGAGGTACTTTTCTTAACTTTGTGATCAGGGAGATGTTGCTTACAGCAAAGGCCTCAGAGGTCATAGACTTCAAGAAAACCTGTCTGTGGGGTGCAAGAAACAACTACAACTTCAGTGAGAATGGATTTGAAGACAGTTTCCAGTTTTACTATGGGAAGAAGAATCTAGAATCAGATAGTTTTATAATTATTAATGACACTTATCTGGTTTTTGTTTTGTAGTGCAGAGAGCTAAAGATTGTTGAGCTCAGAGTATTTAAAATAGATGATAGTTTTATAAATAAATTACAAGGTACATCTTCATGCTTCCTTTTACTATTTTATAAATAATTGCCATATACTGGAAAATCACCTTAGAACACGTTTACAGGGTTGTTTATTTCCAGATATGAGAAGAATGTTATTGGTGTTTTGATTGGGATTGCTTTGGATAGTATGGTCATTTTGATGATATTAATTCTTCCAGTCCATGAACATGGAAGACTTTTCCATTTTTTTTGGTGTTTCCTATTGCTTTCTTTAATGTTTTATAATTTTCACTGTACAGATCTTTCATATTCTTAGTTAAAATTATTCCAAGATGTTTAAATATTTCATAGCTATTGAGAATTAGACTGATTTTACAAGTTCTTTCTCAGCCATTGCATTGTTTGTGTATACAAAGGTTATTGATTTTTGTGTGTTTACTTATATCCTGCAAATTTTTCAGACTCTCTTATAAGTTCCAGTAGTCTCTCAGTGGACTCCTTTGGTTCTCCTATGTATAGGATTATGTAATCTGCAAACAGGTATAATTTGACTTCTCCCTTTCCAATTTGTATCCCTTTGATGATTTTTTTTTCCTAATGGCTCTGGTTAAAAATTCCAGAACTATATTGAATAGCAGTGGTGAGAGTGGGCATCCTTGTCTGGTTCTGGATCTCAGTGAAAAAGCTTCCTCTTTCTATATGATGCTGGCTGTGGGTTTGTCATGTATTGCTTGATCATGTTGAGATGAGTTCCTTCTATTCCCAATTTGCTTAAAGTTTTTGTGTTTTGTCAGATGCTTTTCCTGCATGTAGTGAGATAATCACGTTTTTATTCTTTAATTTATTAATATGATATAGTATACTTATTGATTCATATATGTTAAACATCCCTTTATAATAGGGCTAAATTCCACTTGGTCTCAGGGAATGATATTTCTGATGTGTTGGTGGACTTGATTAGCTAGTTTTTTGAAGATTTCTGCATCTATGTTCATCTGGGATATTTGCCTATAGTTCTCTTTCCTTGTTGTATCATTTTCTGGTTTTGGAAGTAAGGTGATGCTGGCCTCATAGAAGGAATTGAGATGTTTTCCTCCCTTTCAGTTGTTTTGAATAATTTGAGAAAAATTGGAATTTGTACTTCTTTAAAAGTGTGGCAGATTTCAGCAATGAAACCTTCTGGCTTTGGGTTTTTGTTTGTTGGGAGAGTCTTTATTACTGATTTACAAGAGATCCCAAATAGCTGAAACAATCCTAAGCAATAAAAATAAAGCTGGAGGCATCACAATACCAGATTCCAAGACATATTACAGGGAAGATATAATCAAAACAGCCTGGTATTGGCACAAGAGTAGACATGTCAAACAATGGAACAGACTAGCGACCCCAGAAACAAATCCATGCATCTACAACCAACTAATCTTTAACAAACAAGTTAAAATCACTCCCTGGAAAAAGGACAATCTCTTCGAAAATGGTGTTGGGAAAATTGGATCTCTATATGCAGAAGTATGAAAAAAGGGGGCCGATGTCATGCCTCACTTGGTTAATTCTCTGCCTACGGCACCAGCATCCCATATGAGCACCAGTTCTAGTCCCAGTTGCTCCTCTTCCAGTCCATCTCTCTTCTGTGGCCTGGGAAAGCAGTGGAAGATGGCCCAAGTGCTTGGGCCCCTGCACCCACATGGGAGACCGGGAGGAAGAACCTGGCTCCTGGCATTGGGTAGGTGCAGCTCCAGCCGTAGTGGCCATCTGGGGAGTGAACCAATGGAAGGAAGACCTTTCTCTCTGTCTGTCTCTCTCTCTCTCTCTCTCTCTCTCTCTAATTCTACCTTTCAAACAAACAAAAAAAAGTATGAAACAAGGTACCTGCCTAACATGGCATACAAAAGATGAAATCACTATGGATCAGGATCTAAATCTAAGACCTGAAACCATAAAAGTGCTAGAAAAAAACATAGGAAAAACTCTGAAAGACATTAGCATAGGCAAAGACTTTTTGGATAAGATCCAAAAGTATAGGCAATAGAGGCAAAAATAAGCAAATAGTATTACATCAAGCTAAGAAGCTGAAGCTTCTGCACAGTAAAGGAAACACAGTAACAAGGCAACTGACAGAATGGCAGAAAATATATACAAATCATACTTCTGATAATATCCAGGATATATAAGGAGCTCAAGAAAATCAACAACAACAAATTAAGTAAATCCACTTAAGAAATGGGGTAAGGATATGAACAAACAGGCATTTATCAAAGAATGAAATACAAATGAGCAACAACACACAAAAAGATGCCCAGGATCACTAGACATCAGGGAAATGCAAATAAAAACCACACTGAGGTTTCACCTCACCCCAGTTAGATTGGCTAGCATCCAAAACTCAAAAAATAACACTGCTGGTGAGGATGTGGTGGAAATGTTACACTCACACACTGTTGGTGGGAATGCTAACTAGTACATCTGTTATGGATGACAGTATGCAGATTCCTCAGAAATCCAAAAATAGATCTACAATATGACCCAGCCATCCCACTCTTGGGAATTTACCCAAAGAAAATGCAATCAGCATAAGAAAGAGTTACTTGTTATTTCAGCTCAATTCACAAAAGTGACATGGGATCAAACATTTACGTCCATCACTTGATCACTAGATAATGAAAACGTAATATATACACACTATGGAACACTACTCAGCCATGAAATACAATGAAGTCCTGTCTTTTGCAACAAAATGGATGCAAATTGCAACTACTGTATTTTGTGAAACAAGCCAGTCCCCAAAAGACAAATATGTTTTCTCTGATTTGTGGTAATAAATACAACAATACAAAAATGTTATGTATATGAAGAAAAATTGACATTTTTGAAATTTTATTAGTTTATGGCCCTGTCTATACTCATAAGGAACAATGATTTCTCTACTTACTACTTGTTGAATTCTTTATTTAATGGAAGGTTAAGCTTTTGATTAAAAAGTACATTGCAAGTATGTCATTCTAGAAATTAAAAGAAAAATAAGGGAGAAAGGGTAGGAACCTTGAGGGAGGGAATGTGGGGTGGAACGTATCACTATATTCTCAAAACTGTACATATAAAATAGATGCAATTTCTTCCAATTTATAAATAAAAGAAATATAAATATTATACATTTAGAGGCCAAAAAACTAAGCATTAGAGTATGTTTGATGCCAGCTATAAATGGTAAAACAGGGATTGGAAACAAGCATTGAGAATAGAGTCCTTGTTTCTGATTTATAATTCACTACTATATCTTCACAAAATATACTCCATAAGAATTCCTGAACTTAATATTAGCAATTTCACATTGATACAAAAAAATTATAAGTTTTAAACATCTCAGTTATAAAAACATAGGACAACTATACCCATTTATTGTAAGAGAAATTTTTGAAATTCATTGAACTCTCAGCCTTCCAAATGTTTTCTTCTAAAAATATGCATGCTTACATAAAGCCTAGGGCATATGGGAGACTGTAAATGAGAAGGAATAGATCACAAACAACTTCAGAAATAACCTGGCTAATGGATTTTTGTGGATTCATCCAAAAAATGTTTTTGGATGGCAATGGACGTTTAACTCTTCAAGTGTTATTTTTAAAACAATAAATAAGGCTGGCACCGCGGGTCACTAGGCCAATCCTCCGCCTTGCAGTGCCGGCACACCGGGTTTTAGTCCCAGTCGGGGCACCGGATTCTGTCCTGGTTGCCCCTCTTCCAGGCCAGCTCTCTGCTGTGGCCAGGGAGTGCAGTGGAGGATGGCCCAAGTGCTTGGGCCCTGCACCCCATGGGAGACCAGGAGAAGCACCTGGCTCCTGCCTTCGGATCAGCGCGGTGTGCCGGCTGTGGCGGCCATTGGAGGATGAACCAATGGCAAAAGGAACACCTTTCTCTCTGTTTCTCTCTCTCACTGTCCACTCTTCCTGTCAAAAACAAAAAACAAACAAACAAAACACAAAACAAACAAACAACAACAAAAAACAATAAATAAGTGAAGGCCTGAAGTGGATTGTGTTTCAGTAGGCTAAACTGGCACCTGCTCCCTACAGATAATGGCTGAAGTACTTGAGTTCCTTCAATACATGTAGGAGACCCTGAAGCCAGGCCTCAATAGGACCCAGCACCAGCTGCTGCAGCCATTTATGGAGCAAAAAAGAGCAATAGATGAAAGATCTCTCTCCCCCTTTCAAATATCAATAATTCTTTTATAAAGATAGATCTTCCACCTGCTGGTTCACTCCCCAAATGGCTGCAATGTCCAAGGCTGTGCCAGGCTGAAGCCAGGAGCTGGGAGCTTCTTCCAGGTTTCCCACTTGGGTGCAGGAGCTCAAGCCCTTGGACCATCCTTCACTGCTCTCCCAGTTTCATTAGCAGGGAGCTGGATTAGAAGTGGAGCTGCCAGGAATTGAATTGACGCCTATATGAGATGCCGGCACTGCAGGCAGCAGCTTAACCAACTACACCATAGCGCTGGCCCTAATAAA